TACTTTCTCTGCTGAATATCAAAGATTACTATCAATAATCAGCAGCTACTCCCTGGGATCACCTATTCTGTTTGATCTTGACAACCTCAAAGTGAATCGCTATTTAATTTTTTTATATGTTGCAATCAATATTTTAAGAATAAATCTTTGTTCTGATCTGTTCAGTTCCACTTGCTCGGAACACAAATCCCTGCATACAGCAGGAAAGGTGACAGTAATAATCATGCAGTTTCCATTTTAATAGTCTTACAACATGCTGAAACTTCTCAAAAAATGCTTTGTAAGGTGCACAACAGCGACGGATGTTACATATGAAGATTCATGAATCTTTGGCCAAAAGACTGGGGGCAAAATTATTATTATAAACTTTGCATTTGATGTAGCACGTGATCATGTCTTTGAGACGTCTCAAAGCGCTTCACAGAATATACTGTAAAGTGAATTGACCGTATGTTTTGTGGGCGAAACGCGGCAGCCATTTGATGCCCACCTCAACAGGCAGATGGTTTAACTTGTCATCTAAAAGAGGATACTTCTGACAATGAAGCTAGCAATACACAAGGTCAGCTTAGACTGGGAGCCCAAGCTCTGATTTATTAATAAATAATAATAATCCTTACATTTAAATACAGCACTGTTTACGGCGGGAGGAAATCTGCAAGTGCTTTGTAGGATATACTGTAAAGTGGAGTGACTGTCTTCTAGGGGTAAAGGCAGCAACCAATTTATGAACAGCAGTGTCCCACACACAGCCATAATATTAATATTATTTATAATAATAATAAGCCTTGCATTCAAGATGTCTCAAAGCGAGCACTCCCCCTCCACCTGGCTCCTCCCCTGGCTCCTCCCCCTCCCCTGGCTCCTCCCCTGGCTCCTCCCCTGGCTCCTCCCCCTCCCCTGGCTCCTCCCCCTCCCCCTGGCTCGGTCCCGGGATTCGTTACTGTGAAGAGCTCTGAGATGCCGTCCAGCGTGGAGGGCACTATATACATCCAAGTTGTTGTTGTTGTTGTTGAGTGCTCTAAAGCCATGAAAGAGCCATGAAATGAGTGACCAATCTTGTTTGGAGAATTGTTGGCCAGGACACGGGGAGAGATTCTCTTCTCTCTTCAAGTAGTTCCATGGGACATCCGCCTACAACATCCACCTATTACAAGATTGGTTCAGATGGTACAGCCATTTGACCTTATCTTTTCAGGATATCTATCCCACCCTCCTCCAATTACAGCACCAAGCCGTTTCTTCAATGTATCAAACGCCCTTCCTGGTAACCTGTTCTGGTCAATAAACAGCCTCAGGGTAAAGAAATACTTTCTGGTTTGTGTCCTAAATAATCCACTTGCCATGCTGCCTTGGCATATATGAAAGTATAAAACATCCAACAAACTCCTACTCCCAGATCCCAGCTGCTATGGTTAACACGAGAAAATCACACGTGGATTCGTCACTTGCTCTGTGTCACTTCTTGGTTAGAAAGTGTGAGTTCAAACCCCACATCCAGGCTGGCACTCCAGTGCAGCGCTGTGTGGGCACAATGCATTGGAAGTGATGCCTTCCTTCAGTCCAAACATTAAACCCAGTTCTTGTACAGATGACACCATTTCGGAAAAAAAAGGAAGTTTGCTTTTGTTTGTTGTTGCCGGCTGATAAATTGATCATTGATTTCATGGCTGTTTGAGAGACTCTGCCACTTGGGAACTGTGTGTGTGGCCTGCCAAAGTCGTTGCTTTTGGAAGCAATTCCCTGTGAAGTTGTTGTGAGCTGTTTGAATTTTCAAGGAGCTGATAACAAGTGAAAAGATTTCGATAAGATATTATGGACCAAAGGCCATTTGGCATATTTCATTCCTGTGACCTCCACCTTCTCATTATGATTGGCCACATCCATTACTGAACCAAAGACTCACAGTGTTCTGCTAAATCACAGTTCAATGTGTAGCAGTTTCACACGTGAGCGATGAGATTGGTGCCAGGAGAGATTTAAACCACAATCATTTCTATAATTCTTGCACTTGATTTTACACCTTTCATGCCAGGAACACATCTCAAAACAGCTCACAGGATTTATATTAATCCTTACATTTGGTATAGCACCTTTCACAACGCGAGGACATCTCAAAGTGCTTCACACGATTTACCGTGAAGTAGAGTGACTGTGTATTTGTAGGTAAAGGCGGCAGCCGATTTGCACATAGCAAAGTTCGACAAACAGCCATGGAATGAGTGATCAATTTATTTACAAGGGAGTTAGAAGGATCGACTATGCAAATCCCCTGCTCGTCGGCCTTCCCAACTCCTCCCTCTCCAGGCTGTAGATAATCCAGAACTCTGCAGCCCGTGTCCTCTCTGTGACCCCATCTCCTCCACTCTCGCCAGACTCCACCGGCTCCCTATCCTTCAGAGGATCCAGTTCAAGATCCTGGTCCTCACCTACAAAGCCCTCCATGGCCTCGCCCCACCCTACCCCTGCAACTTCCTAACCCTCTATCAACCCGCCCGGTCCCTCCGCTCAGCCGGCTCTGGCTGCTCCACATCACCCGACCCACCCGCCCCACCATTGGCGGGAGAGCCTTCAGCCACTCTGCCCCAACCTCTGGAATTCCATCCCCCAGTCACTCCGCCTCACCCCCTCCTTAGCCTCCTTCAAGTCCCGCCTCAAGACTCTCCTCTTTGGCCATGCCATTGGCCACCACCCTTCCCCTCCCCTCCCTTCTCCCCCCCCCCCGACCCCAACTCGGGTCTGAAATGCTGTCACTGACCAGCGCCTTGGGACATCCTCCCGACATGAAAGGCGCTATACAAATGTAATCTTGCTGTTGTTTTTGTTTCTCCCAGGACACTCGATTTAAAGTCTCATTCAAAGGACAGCACTTTGCACAATGCAGCATTCTACAAATACTTCATTGGAGTATAATATTATAATAATAATAAAAATGCTTGCAGTTGATATAGCGCCTTATCACATCTTCGTGACATCCCAAAGCTCTTCACAGGAATGTGTAATGTGTAGTGACTATGTATTTTGTGGGGGAAACGTATAAGCCTAGCCTCTGAGCTTAAAAAGTCCCAACATGAGGCTTAAACCCACAACCTTCTGACTCAGACGTGAGAGCTCTACCAACGGGACCAAATTGAGCACCATGCAATTAACCAGAGAATTAAACTCCTGCGGCTCTATCTTGTGGAGTCCTGTAGCTCAGTGGTTAGAGCACTCACTTTGCAAGTGAGAGACCTGAGTTCAATTCCAGGCAGAGGGCGAAACCTCGGGCAAGTTTCCTCACTCCACACAGAGCCTAATTATAATCCCTCCAAAACCAAAAACAATAATAAATTGGTCATTTTCAATCTACGACCGTTTGTGGGACATTGCTGTGTGCAATTGGCTGCCGCGTTCGCCCACAAATATACAGTCAATTCACTTTACAGTGTGTTCTGTGAAGCGCTTTGGGACGTCCTCCCGACGTGAAAAGTGCTATATCAAATGCAAGGATTATTATTATTATTATTATTAAGATCATATCAGCACAATTGAGGGAAACGTCTGCCTTTCCCGGTACCTCTCGTATTATTAAATCATAATTATTGATAATAATAATAATAACATTATTATTATGTATTAAATCTGAGAGGATTGAAAAATAAATGCTGCGATCATTTAAATTTAACATTCGACGGGCTCCAGTGTGTGACATTCACAAATCCGATTAGTTGGCTTTGCTGCAGGTTGATGACCAGGTGAATCATAGATCCCAAACTGGTCAGGTCCCTAAAAAGAGCAATGAGCAAAACCTTAAATTGTGAGAATAAGGAAATCTGCGCTTATTAAGGGAGTCGTCCACTGCTCATTGATTAATTCAGTGAAGGAGAACTTCAAACATTTATTTATTTATCTCAATGTATTTATTAATCATTTATCTGAACGACATAATAAGGCGTTATATCAAATAATAATAATAATAATAATAATCCTTGCATTTGATATAGCGCTTTTCACGTCGGAAGGACATCCCAAAGCGCTTCACAGAACACACTGTAAAGTGAATTGACTGTATATTTGTGGGCGAACGCGGCAGCCAATTGCGCACAGCAATGTCCCACAAACAGTCGTGGATTGAAAATGACCAATTTATTATTGTTTTTGGTTTTGGAGGGATTATTATTAGGCTCTTTGTGGAGTAAGGAAACTTGCCCAAGGTTTCGCCCTGACCTGCCTGGAATTGAACTCAGGTCTCTCGCTTGCAAAGCGAGTGCTCTAACCACTGAGCTACAGGACTCCAAATGCAAGGATTATTATTGTTATTTATGATTTTATGATTATTACTGCAGTGGAATAATAAAAAGTAAACAACTCCAAACTGTACAATGCCCTGGGATGCCTTTCTGATATGGTGCTCGCTATACAGAGGTAATTTGTTGTTGTTATTGTTGTTGGAGTCCTGTAGCGTAATGGTTAGCGTGCTCAGCTCACAAGCAAAAGGATCTGGGTTCGATTTCTGGGCAGGCGAAACCTTACGCTTTCCTTACATTTTCCCCAAGTTTTCTTACTCTACATGTTTCTAGCAGTAAGTGGGAACACGATTGTTAGTCGATTGGCAGATCATTTTCCGGGGTTAATAATCTCTTCAAAAAAAATCATATTTTGGTCGCTCAATCCACCACTGTTTGTGAGTCGCTGCTGAGTGCAATTTTGCCACATTTCACCTACAATATATACAGTCAATTCATTTTGCAGTATATTCTGTGAAGCGCTTTGAGACATCTCGGAGACGTGATAAAGCACTATATTAAATGCAAAAATTATTATGATATATGTTATCATATATTATGTAAGATATATATACATATGTTATTTCATGTGAAAGTATCCAGTTTGAAATCTTATCAAAGAACAGTCATGAAAAGCAAGTCCCACCCTCTGAGACTCAAGAACTGTATTGCTTAAGAGTCAGAAACTCCACCCAGCAGTTAGTCTTAAGGAAGAGCAAAAATTTGAGCGGCTCTATAAAGAGCAAATCACACTGCCTGAACTAGCTACCGTGATTTTTTGGGACGAGGACAGAAGTGACTTCCCTGGCCGGGCACAGTCACCTGCCTCCTGTTCATTCACACAAGACTTTGGATGTCAAAGTTTGAAAACAGCGGGTGAGTCTCCTTTATTTGAGAAAGACTAACAAAAAACATTCCAACCAGTTCACTGGCTGCGAGCTAAAGAGCTAAAGACTTTCCGAATCTGTTGACTAAGACTTGATTTTAAACACAATAGCAAGTTATATGATAAGCTAGTAATTTCCTGATAAATTTTTAAAAATAGTTTCTCGCCTCCCTGTCAAAACTGCCTGGCAAGCTTGTGATATTGTTCTGACTTTAAAAAGAACTAATTTCTTAAGCAAAACTTTGTTGGATTGTTGCCCCCCCAACCCCAGTCTTTGATCTGTTTATCAGGAACAAGGATCCCAAGATGATTCATTCCCTTTTAATAATTAAGAATCTTTGTGTTTGATACAGCGCCTTATCACATTGCTGAGATGTCTCAAAGCACTTCACAGAATAGACTGTAAAGTGAATTGAATGTGTATTTTGTGGGCGAAACGCGGCAGATGATTGCACACAGCAGCGTCCCACAAACAGTTGGGGATTGAATGACCAATTTTTTAAAAAATATTGTTTCAGGAGCAAAGAAGGCTTTGGAAAGCAAGTGATCTGCAGATTCGAGTCAAGTTTTTCTGGTAAGAAATATGTGGCCAAATAACCTGTTTGTCCAGTGTTTGTCAGAAGGTGTGACACAAATTTAAGCCTCTAAATCTCTTGTGTTTACACACAAATGTCAGGGCAACAATGTAGAAACTATGAGTGGTGAAGTGGGAGGTGCACTTCCTACCCAGTTTCTAATGGAATTCAGGAAATCTACTAGAGGACTTCTGGGGGCGCAGGGGGTGTCTCGCCTCTGGGGATGTAACATTAACCTGAGAGTGAGCCTGTGTGCCCCGAGTCCCTATCAGTCATTAGCAGAGGATTTACGAGTGTCTGTCGAGCATTGCTGGGTGTTTAGCTCTCTTACATCACTGCTGCGATGTGCTAAGACAAGCCGTCCAACAATTATGGCACGTTTGCTGACGGCTGGTCACACAAAGCCTGGAGCCTTGCTCTGTCACACTCTGCCTCTGTTTATTCTCTTGCTGTGGAGTACACAATGTTTCACTCCTAACTGCAGAACCCACCCAATGTGGTAAATGACTTTACCTGCGCTGCCTGACAACTTGTTTGGGGGTTGGATGGGGTGTAGAATATGATACATGTTGTCACCAGTGATGACCCTTCAATTCGTTCAGCTGAATGTCGCAAACCAAAGCTCATTCTGCTCGACTCCAAGCAGCAACCAGGTGCCCTTTTGCCTCTGGCTCCGACCTTGTCAACCTTCCCTGGTGCTTGCTGCAGCTCACTGAGTCAGTGCACCATGTTCATCTCTCTTTCAAATTCTAGATCCCATTCTTCATCAGAGACTGTACTAGGTTCAGCCCTTCCAGAACTGCACATCCCATATCTTCTCCCACATAAAGGTACCACAAGATGACAACAACGGGCATTTATATAGTGCCCTTCACATGGGACAGCGTCTCGGAGTGCTTAACCATGGTGGAGTCTGATGCCGAGCTAGGGGGAAAGAGGAGGTGACCATAAGCACAGTCAAAGAGGAAGGTCTTCAGTCATGATCAACAAGAGGGGAAGGAGAGGGAAAGGTGGAGGGATTGGGAGAGAGAGTTCCAAAGCTTTGGCCATTGATGGTGGAGTGGATGGGACAAGCAGAGGCCAAAGCCAGCCGAGCAGAGGCAGTGGGTAGTGGAGTGGGGAGAAAACAGGTCAGAAAGTTAGGGAAATGCTAGGACATGAAAGGATTTGTAGACGAGTGAGATATCTTGAAATCGATCCGTTCTGTGATAGGGAGCCAATGAGAGCCTGGCAAGGATTGGTGTGATAGGGGGACGGAGTTTAGTATGGGTGAAAATACGGACGATGGAGTTCTGAATTAGGTGTAGTTTGTGGTTAGTTTCTGGGGAGACCAGCGAGGGGGGCATTGGAGGAGGGCATAGGTTACCCCTCGATCCTCGCTTGTTTCATTACCTGAGCCCCTGCCATCCTCACCTTCTAATCTCTCAATAATAATAATCCTTGCATTTGATATAGCGCTTTTCATGTCGGGAGGACGTCCCAAAGCGCTTCACAGAACACACTGTAAAGTGAATTGACTGTATATTTGTGGGCGAACGCGGCAGCCAATTGCGCACAGCAATGTCCCACAAACAGTCGTAGATTGAAAATGACCAATTTATTATTGTTTTGGGTTTTGGAGGGAATATTATTAGGCTCTGTGTGGAGTAAGGAAACTTGCCCAAGGTTTGGCCCTCTGCCTGGAATTGAACTCAGGTCTCTCACTTGCAAAGCGAGTGCTCTAACCACTGAGCTACAGGACTCCACAATGCACTTGCTCCCACTTTATTCTATAATACACTGCAACCTCACTACCTTCGATCTGCAATCTCAGACTCGCTCCATGTCCCATGCCCACTCATTCCATGGATGCCAATTGAAAACAATTTCAAAATCCTACCTCTTCACCCCACTGGACCCCATCTCACCGAATTGCTATTATTTATTGGGAAACAATTCTCCTGAAATTAATCTGGGTCTTGGGGCTGAATAGTCCATGGCAGTAATGCACGTTCTATTCGTTTGTGTCTGACACTATTCACTGAGTTGCAAGACATGTACACAAGAGAATGATTGTACGGCAGTTCCTATAATGGATTAGTTGAAGGGAGTTTTTCCGGGTGTCCAGGCCAGCAATCTCCCTGTAAAAAATAATCACTGACTTCATGGCTGTGTGTGGGACATTCCTGTGGGCAAATTGGCAGACGCATTTTGTTTTGGTTAGTTAGGTGTCTGACTCATGTGGAAGTCCATCATCATGCTTAAAAGAATTTCATGTATCCCATCTACACGTAGAAATTTCAGAGATAGATTGTTGGAATGGAATGTGTAGAAGCCAAGGCTGAAGCTGAGGGGTTGCCCTGATGGTACCCAACCTCTCCCACCATGAAGAGGCATGAATTGTGAAATTTGATATTAGAATGTTCACAATCTCAACTTTTTTTTCACAAATATTTTGCTCTCTGTTCACTTTACACAAAGAAGAGAGCTATTCGACAGGTAGAAGACCCTCCTCCCACCCCCAAACCTCACTCCCAACCCAGCACCATCCACTACTTCCACTGGAAATATCCAGTGCAGGAGATGAAAAATATTACCCAGTCTAATGACATTCCCTGTACCACTACCCTCTGGGTTCTTCTGGTCAACCAGTTGCATATTCATTGTAATATACCTCCACTGATTCCTACTTTCTTTCTTGACTTTCAGTACCATTATACTATATCCCATAATGTTATTTCCTAAAAGAAAACTATCTAATCTGTGTTTGAAAGAATCAACACTTCCCGCTTCAACCGTCTCCCACAGGTTCACTATTCACTCACTGAAATAGTGTTTGCGTAGATTCATTCTGAATTTACCCCCTTCAATTACTGGCTGTGTCCTCTAGTTTTATTCTGGACTAGTTGAAACAGTCTGTCATGATCTATATTGTTTTGCCCCTTTAAAATCTTACAAGACAGCAATCACTTCGCCTCTCAATCTTCTCTTTTCCAGCATGAACATGCCCAATTTACTTAGTCACTCCTCACAGTCCAGTCTTCCATTCCCTCAATCATTTTGGTTTCCCTCCTCTGTAACTTCTTGATTTCTCCAATATCCTTTTTGTACTGTGTCGACCAGAACTGTACACAGTACTCTAAGTATGGTCTCAACAATGATTCACACAGTGGCAGGGTTACCCCACTATTTCGGCTGCTATTGATCTTTTGATACATCCCAAAAGATGTTGTTGGGAGAGCTTCAATTTATTGTCAATCAGGACCCCCAGGTTCTTTTCATTTTCTGTATATATTATTTTCCTTCCATTCAAATAATAGTCCCTTCCAGGATTTTTTGTTCCCATGTGAAGTACTTTACATTTCTCCACATTGAATTTCATCTGCCACCAATCTGCCCAATTCCCAAGTATGTTCAAATCCTCCTGTAACCTATCCTGTTCAGCTTCACAATCTACCACTTTCATTAGCTTGGTGTCATCTGCAAACTTAGCCACTGTGCTTGCGACTCCCCTAGTTCCAGATCATTTATAAAAATATTAAACAAAATTGGTCCCAAAATAGACCTTTGTAGGAACTCCACTGGTAACATTTTCCCAGTCTGATGACATTCCCTGTACCACCACCCTCTGGGTTCTTCTGATCAACCAATTGTGTACCCATTGTAATATACCTCCACTGATTCCACTTTCTTGACGTTGAGTACCAGCCTTTCAAGAGGAACTGTATCACAGGCCTTACTGAAATCCAGATGTACAAAATCCACGCCTTACCCTTATCAAGCTTTGTTGTTATATCATCAAAGTAAACCAATAAATTAGATTGGCAAGACCTTCTCTTCATGAACCCATATCGGCTATTATTTATGATTTTATTTCTGTCCAGATGCTCCACGATTTTATCCTTAATACGAGTCTCCATTACTTTACCTACAATGGACTTCAAATTTACTGCAGTTTCCTGGGTCACTTTTGTTACCTTTCTTAAAAATAGCAGTAACATCTGCCTTTCTCCAGGTCCCTGGCACCTTTCCAGTATTCAGTGCTTTTTGAAAGGTTTGTGCCAGTGTTTCTGCGACTTCCTCCCTTAGTTCCTTGACGATCCTCAGATGCAATTTATCTGGCCCCTGAGATTTATTTACCTTAAGTTTGTGCAGCTGTTTGGCAACCATACTGGTAGTGATATGAATAGTGTTGCAACTTTTCTCTGCAACATCCTTGAGTTCTCTTTCCAGATCAGATAGGTTACCCAGCTCCTCCTTGATAAAGACTGATCAAAAAAATGTATTTAGCACTATTGTGGAGTCATGTAGCTCAGTGGTTAGAGCACTCGCTTTGCAAGCGAGACACCTGAGTTCAATTCCAGGCAGAGGGCGAAACCTTGGGCAAGTTTCCTTACTCCACACAGAGCCTAATAATGATCCCTCCAAAACCCAAAACAATAATAAATTGGTCATTTTCAATCTACGACTGTTTGTGGGACATTGCTGTGTGCAATTGGCTGCCGCGTTCGCCCACAAATATACAGTCAATTCACTTTACAGTGTGTCCTGTGAAGCGCTTTGGGACGTCCTCCCGACGTGAAAAGCGCTATATCAAATGCAAGGATTATTATTATTATTATATTATTATTGTAGCCTGTGTAGCATTATTTGTCATGTTGTATCTCGAACCCAAGTTCAGTGGCCCTATTCCATTGCTTGTTTTTCTTCTACTCTTAATGTAACAAAAAACTTTTTCTTATTATCCTTCACATCTCTTCCCACGTTCAATTCAAAGCTTTTCTTTACCATTCTGATGCCTTGTTTGCAGTTTTGGCATGCCTGTCTGACTTATTTCTGTGCCATTAAGCTTCATGAGCTTAAATACTTTTTTTTTCCTTTTTATGATTTGCATTGTAACCCCGTCCAACCAGGCAGGAGTGTCTTTAAACAAAACACAAAATATAGCAGATGCTGGAATCTGAAACAAAAACAGAGAGAGCTGGGAAAACTCAGCAGGTCAGGCAGCATCTATGGAGAAAGGAAAGTGAGTCAACGTTTCGGGTCCACAACACTTCATTAGGAATGTCTTTAAGCTTGGTACCTTTACTTTGCATGGGTACACATTGTTCTATTGCCTTCAAAATCACCTCCTTGAAGGAACTCCCTAGGTCTGCCACTCCCATTGCCATATTTAAGCCTGTCAGGCCCACTCCAACTAAACTTCTCAAGTGCACAAAGTCAGTCCTCTTGAAATTTGACAGTTTTGTTTGGGTTTGTAGAACCTCACCAACTCTTGTCATGTCCAATGTGACTGCATTGCGATCACTGTTGCTTAATGCTTCTCCCACCTTTATGTTGGAGATTTGGTCGTTCCTGTTGCTCATTATCAAATCCAAGATGTTATCTCCCCTTGTTGGCTCTTTTACAAGCTGAGTCATAAAACAGTCTTCCATTAACTCTTGATACCCCTTCCCTATCTTACCAGTATACACATTATAATCCCAATCAACTTTAGGTAAGTTAAAATCTCCAACCATTCTGGTTGGTCCCTTACTAGTAGCCTTCCTTATCTCATCCCACAGTTCCAGATCAAGGCTTTCACCCTGGCTTGGGGTTCTGTAACAGACCCCCAGTAATAGTTTACCTCTGCTACCATCGTTTAATTCTAGCCAAAGTAATTCTGTGTCTGCCCTTTCCTTTTTTATATCCTCTCTCACTTGTGTCTCAATAATATAGCTTATATATAGTGCCACACAATCTCCTCTTCTCCTGATACGGTCCCTCTTAAACAGTTTATACCCTTTCAGATGCGTATCCCAATGATTGGATTCATTCCACCATGATTCTGTTATGTTAATGATGTCCAATCTATCAATGCCTGCAAGACCTTCCAGATCACACATCTTCTTTGTCAGACTTCTTACATTAATGAAGCTACAGCTCCATTGTTTTTGGCCTTTCCCATTTACTTTATAAGCATTTTTGTTTCTTTTTCACCAACCTTTGCAGTTACTGGTACGCCTTAAAGTTTTCCCTAATCGGTTCAGATGCTCTCTTACACCTACCGCAACCACTCCTGTGCCTAATTTAAACACAGTTTCTCCCGGTGTCTTGGCCAACAATCTCCCAAATAAAATTGGTCTATCATTTCATGGCTGCTTGTGGGACATTGCTGTGCGCATTTGTGCTACTGAGTTTGCCTACTAATTCTCAGTTACTTAATTTCATTATAAAAATCCTGTGAAATATTTTTAGACATTCTTCTGATGTGATAAGGTGCTATACCTTATGCAAGAATTATTATTATTATTATAAGACTGAAGAACCCTAACGGAGTAGCCCAGAAATCCCATAGAGAATTCACAGACTTCCCTTCAGGATTCTGCTGAACGTGTTGGGAGTAATGGAGAAGACAACCATTAAGTTAGGTCAAGACATGGAGCTTCAATTATCTGCAATCAAGATCTCCAGGGCATAAGCGATGGACGGTACTAGAGATTCTCTCACCACATTATCTCCACCCACCTGCTGCTATGGGTGTGCCAGCTTTCAACTCTCTGGGAGGATGGCTGTAGCCATTCCTTGGGCTAAGAAGCTGATGAAAGCCCACAGTCTGCATTCACACCTATTTGGCAGATGGGTCCCTTCATCAAAGGCATGTACTGAGCAGCACTAGTCCAGCCAGTTGCTTCCCATGCCCATGGACAGCTGACAATAGCTTTGTCTCTTTGTCTCTTTCCAGCTCCTGCCTGCTACGAGCTGGAAATCTCAGCTTGGTTTGGATACTCTTAAGCATGGTGATGGGTTTCTGCATGTGTCAAATACCTGGCCAATCCAATTTAAAAAAAATACACTGGCCTCCACCCTCACCAATCCCAACCCCTAACTCACTGACTGTCCAGCACCTTGGTATGTCCTCCCAACGTGAAAGACGCTATACAAAAGTAATTTTGTTGTTGTTGTTTTTCATATGGGAAGGACATCCCAGGGCACTGTCCAGTCAAGGTGCTGGGGGTGGGAGGGTGTCTGAAAACACAATCATAGAGGAACGTCTTGAGATGGGCCTTAAAGGAGGCGAAGGAGAGAACAAGGTGGAGAGGCTTCAGGAGTTCCAAAGGGTGGAGCTGAAAGGCTGATGGCCTGACTGTCGACGGTGGGCTGGGCGGGGTGGGAGATGTGGAGATTAGGAGCAGGCAAACAGAAAGTCAGCAGGGCATGGTCAGCCCGCTGACATTAAGTGGCTGGGGGAAACTAAGGAGAGCAGCACAGGGCAAGTGACAGAGCCTGCCCCAGACTCAATTATGGAGGGAGAGGGGGAGAAGAATGGGGAGGGGAAGATTGCTGAATGCACAGACAAAGAGGTACATCTTCAATCATTGAAAGGAACGCTGGTGATGTTTCCAGTAACCAATAATCATCAGCTGAGAGGACACTTGACTCAGCAACTGGTTTCCAGATTTGGGAAGTGCAATCTTAATTGGCTTTAAAGTATCCCAGGAAGAAAATTCAGGGCAATTTGTGTTCAGAATATGTTTTTCTTTTTCCCTCTAGCAACATGCCTGCTCCCTGACCAACTAACCCAAACCCTATCCCTAACCCAACTGCCTCGCTCTCTATTGAGTCTCTGTCCATGTGGAGGCCTTTTCTATCCCTGTGGAGCTGATTTAAATCTCTTGTTAAGATCAGAGATCCTTCTCACTTGCTTTATATTCCACTTATCTTTTCTACCAACCATCACTGATTATCCAAATATTTGACTATTTGATCAGTTGTGTGTTTGAGGTCAATAAATTAATGGCCTTTTGTTAGAACAGCCTTTTGCAAGGATTATTATTATTCTGTATTATTAATATTATAACCTTTTCTTATTGTAGGTTAAAAGTTAAGGACTGGAGACATCATGGACTGGAAAACACTGCAAGGCGTCCTCAGTGGCGTGAACAGATATTCGACAGGATTCGGACGGATCTGGCTGTCCGTAGTCTTCATCTTCAGGGTGCTGGTGTACGTGGTGGCAGCGGAGAAGGTGTGGGGAGATGACCAGAAAGACTTTGACTGTAACACGAAGCAGCCCGGGTGCACTAACGTCTGTTATGACCATTACTTCCCCATCTCTCACATTCGGCTGTGGGCCCTGCAGCTCATCTTCATCTCCACACCCTCCTTGCTGGTCATCATGCACGTGGCCTACAGGAAAGATAAAGAGAAGAAGTACCACAGGAAACACCCCGAGAACAACACCAAGCTATACTCAGACCCTGGCAAAAAGCACGGAGGCCTTTGGTGGACCTACGTGATCAGTCTTGTAGCCAAAACCATAATTGAAGTAGCTTTCTTGTATATCCTGCACCGAATCTATGACAGTTTTGACATGCCTCGTCTTGTCAAATGCACAGCCAGCCCATGCCCCAACACGGTGGATTGTTACATTGCCAGACCCACTGAGAAAAGGGTGTTCACCTATTTCATGGTGGGGGCTTCATCTCTGTGTGTGGTGTTGAGTGTCAGTGAAATTATCTATCTGATCGCTAAAAGGTGTTTCAGGTTTTGCATGTTGCGATGTGGAAAGCGAAAATCTAACCTGTCTATGAGCGCAAATGGTCATAAACTCATTCACATGAATTACTTGCCTTCTGCTAGGCCACAGGACTATATCCGTGCTTCTGCCCCAAACCTCTCTTCAATGTAATCTATATTATTATTATGTATGAGTGATGCGGTCTGAGATGTGTGTGACGAAGGTGAGCTACTGACATTTACACTCATCTTGGCTGGCGTTTACACTCACACTTCCCAGAGAGCCACAGCAACTGGGTAGGGAGCGCTGTTAATGTGGGATTGTCTGGGGACTTTCAGGGGAAGTTATTGTCGCATGGAGGAGAGTTCTTCCCTTCCTGATGTCTGACTCTCTGCGGGACAGCTAATGAGCAGCTTTGCAGAACTCCCGGTTGTATTGAGGGCTTGCCTGCCTTGCGCAGGTCTTGTGATAGTGGAGCATGTGTGCAAGTGTGGAGGGGAACGTTCTTGGGTACAGTAACACTGCAAACAGCAAATGTATTTACGTGGGAAGGTTAGTTGATAAAAATATCCACAGATAAGCCAATGTTAAAATGTTAAATGGAGACCTGTTGTTGAGGGAAATTGGCTTCCTGTGTCAAGGAATAGTTCTTCGTTTATGTGCCAATTCAGACGCTTGTCCTTCCTTGGATTATTATTTTGGATTTACTTTCTTTATCTCATCAAGAGTCATATTTAAGGTCCACTCTGTGACATTTCTTTCAAAGTCATTCCTTACAGCTCATTTCTCTAACATTCCTCTAACGCCTTGTGGGTGATAACATTGAGTTGTCTTTCAGCTTGTTTACCTAGCAAGTAAGTAGGAACCTGGATGGTAGTCGATTAGCAGATCACTTTTCCGGGGGTAATATTTCCTTCAAAAAAAAATAATAAATTGATCACTCAATTCATGACTGTGTGAGGGACACTGCCGCGTTTCACCCACAAAATATACAGTCAATTCATTTTACAGCATATTCTGTGAAGAACTTTGAGGCGTCTCGAAGACAGGGTAAGATGCTATATCAAATCATAGAATCAAAGAATCATACAGCACAAAAAAAGGCCATTCGGCCCATTGAGTCTGTGCCAACTCTTTGTAAAGAGCAAAGTCAATCCCACTCCCCAGCAAGGATTATTATCATTAGTGTTGTTTATCTGGTTGTAGACAAGTATAATAAGTTTCTAAAACTTTTAACCATCAGTATCATGTATTAACTGTTAATTTAAAATTTAAAATAGTTTCTATCTTAAGAAGGTCCTGACATTTCCATTATCTAAGGTCTGAAATTCCACTTGCACAAAAACACAGCCTTAAAATATACGATATTGCAGAATTGTGTAAAATGTCTTAATTTGGAGTTGGGGTTTTTTAGGAACTGCAGATGGCTGGCTTCCAAATTAAGACAGAATTCAAGAATGTTTCACAATCCTGCACCGTCTCTAATTTTGTTAAAACAAACTGGACTCACAGCCTAAGATTAGGTGGAAGTTTGGGCCTCGTGTACCTACATTTTGAACAGAGACGTCAATGAGTGCAAAATGGACGAAGGACAAACGTTTCTTTGTCAGAAAAATGTATAAGCATCGACCATCGTGACCCGAATGGTCACCCAAGCTCCTTGTGGGAACAATTACCAAGTGTATCGGTGCTGTGTAAGGAGGTAACACTGGCTGCATGTTGATCATGCGCCCATTCTGTGCCCTCCCACCCAACCCCCTATTGCATATTGAGCAAAAAATTCTTAACTTCTCAATTCTTAAACTAAAAGAGAAGTGAGATCACCAAGTAAAGATAGCTGACACCATCACTGCACCCCCCCACCACCCCTCCCCCGCCCACCGCATGCTCGCCTACCAGCCTGCCTGATTCCCGAATTTGAGAACTGAAAGGCTTCAGAGGAAATCTGACGCTTCTCGATTCCCACCAGTTCCACTTTTTGATTAAGTTTTCCACTGCAAATTTGTTCATTTGCCCACAAGGCACACAGACGAACCACTTTACTGTGTGTCCTTTGAAGCGCTTTGAGACCTATCGATGATATGATCAAATGCAAGGATTATTGTTGCATTGAAATTTGACGACTTTGAGAAAAGAGGCAAAGTGTATCAGGTAATGTGTCTATTATTTATATCTTCCGTCTTAAAATCTTTATGTTCCCTGAAAGAGAGAGATGTGTAATGTCTGAAGGGTCTAATGCGTTGAAGTGATTTGTAGCTTTCTTATTTTCTCTGACTTGCTGCCTTTCGTTTGGCATTCAAAGGCTGGTTTCAGGTGAATAAATCATTTTTTTTTACACACAAATGAACATCTCTCATAAATTTGTGACTTTATCCATGACTTTGGTTCTCCTGTTGATGTGTATTTTGGGCAAGTTACGACACAAAATTACTGAAAAATGACAATAGAATAAATAAATAATAATTTGCTCATTCAATCCATAGCTGTTTGCGGGACATTGCTGTGCGCTGCTGTGTTTCACCCACAAACTATACAGTCAATTCACTTCACAGTATATTTTGTGAAGTGCTTTGAGACGTATCAACGACATATATCTCTATATGAGCTATGTAAAATGCAACAATTATTATTATACATAAGAATTCTGGGCTACGATACAGAGAGCAATACAGTTTACATTTACAGAGCATGTTTCACATCAGGAGGATATCTTAAATCATTTGATATTGCTGGTGGGGTAGGAGTGGGGAGAGGAAAGAACGGTCAAGACACGTGAAGGGTGCCCTATAAATATAAACTGTTGTCATTGTTGTCAAGGCAGTATTTCTTGAGACTGGCTTTGAACGAGGTGAGGGAATGAGTTGGATGGACTCTGGGATGTGGTTCCAGAGAGTGGAAGCAGAATGGCCGCCCACCAGTGTTGGGGTGGAGAGGACGGGGAAGTGAAGCAGGCCGGTGCCGGCTTAGCAAAGGTAGGGACCAGATCAGTAGGGTTGAAGGAGATCTCAGACTAAGAGCAGATGCTGCGTTGAGACAGTATTCTGTAGAAAGGCTTGGGAATATTAACGGGTGAGCTTTCTCACCTCCCTACAACCACTTCACCTGTTCAGAGCACAGAGAAACAAGAAGAGATCCAGTTTGCACGGCTCGAATCTCACACACACTGAGCGGCAGACCAGGACCACCCTTTGGAACTCCATCCCACATTCCCTTGGCCTCGCTCCCCCCCTTGCCTCCTTCAATGCACGTCTCAAGACCCTTCTCTTCGACTTCACCCTTCACCCCGACCCAACTGTCCAGCGCCTTGGGAGGTCCTCCCGACATGAAAGGCGTTCTATAAATGCAATCTTGTTGTTGTTGTCCCTCCCTGCCCTCCACCCTCCCTGATCCTGACCCTCTGCTCGGGTCCAAATCCCTGACTGTCCAGCATCTTGGGACATCCTCATGACCCGAAAGGTGCTATACACATGTATGTTGTTGTTGTGTTGGCAAACAGCCCGGCCAGACACCCACTGCTGCCCCTGAGACAGAGCTGTGACCCTGTGAGAGGCTCTCACTGGTCCAGGGGCTGCCCAGCAGTTAGCTTCACACCCTCATTTCTAACCCTTGCTCTGCATATTCGAGGTCCAAAACAAATTATTTCATGGATTATGCGTTCTTGTTTTGGAGCTGAATGATGAGAGTTCTCTCCATGGGGGTCTATGGGGGTGAGAACTGTTTATTCTACAAAATACACACTCAATTCAGTTTACAGTATATTCTGAGAAGCGCTTTGAGACATCTTAAAGACGTGATAAAGCGATATATCAAACGCAAGGATTGTTATTATTCTGTGCTTATTATTCGCTCGCTCATTTGCTCAGACCAAACCTACGTGCCCCAGAATCATCCAGAGAGTCGTTTATAACATCTAATCTGACTTCATAGAGGTTAGGACGAGACTCGGAATTACTAACCAAAACCTAACTCTGCTTCACATTAAAAGTTCCTGAGCCCAGGCCACAAGTTGCCAACATCTGCTTTCAACAAGTCATCATGACTCAACAGATTTGAAATAGGATTTTGATTTAAGAGGACAAAATGAGTATTGGAAGCTCATGTATATGCTGATTTATAGGCAGAGGTCTGGCTGCTCAGTACAGAGCAGTGAGGGAACTGTCAGTGATATATTTGTATTGTTTGTTTTGAAACCTTTTCCACGGAAACCCTGTCACCAACCATCAACGTGTGCTACACTTTACCTTTTTATAGTCCATTGTGTCTCTATATTTTGTTACACACCAAAATGATTCATAAAAATAAATATTTTACAATTCTTAAACCGGCTTTTATTTACCCTCAGTCCCTCCTGAAAGCCAGTAGCCCTCCTCCCTTCTCTTCCTCCTCTCGCGTGTCCTCTCTACACTCTCACATCACCTTAACCCAGATATCTGCTCCACAGCTCAGTCCCAATCCCTCAACTGTGCTGACAAGATTTCAAGTAGGTTTAGATGTAGAAAGCTTTTCAGCCCATCCAATCCCAATCTTCCAGAACCCCCCTTCCCTCAACCATCCTCCCATCACAAGTTTCTGGCCTCAACCACCTTCCTGGTAACTTGTTCCAGTTATTATTATATACTCCATTACTCTCTCCTGTTGTTACACTGTGTGACTGTCTCTCTCTCTACTCTGTGACTCCCATTATACACTGTGTGACTATCTCTTTTTATCTTTTGTCACTCTCTCACTCCCTGTTGCGCTCTAACTCTCTCCTCTCTTTCCATTAATCTGTGTGTGACTGTCTCTCTTCATACATGAAACGTACAAAGAGATAGACATATAATAATCCCTTCAAAAAAAATGTTCTTGTGTGATCACTCAATCCATGACTGTTTGTGGGACGCTGCTGTGCGCAATTGGCTGCCGAGTTTCGCCCACAAAACACGCAGTCAATTCACTTTACAGTATATCCTGTGAAGCACTTTGAGATGTCGTGATAAGGCACTATATCAAAGGCAAGGATTATTATTATTATTACTATTAATTACCCTCTGGGTATAGAATACTTCCTGGTGCCTGCTTCCTGAAATTTCCCTTTACAACTCTAAAGCTGTGTATCTTGTTCTATTGTTCTACTATCACGGAACAGTAAAATTTGCAACCCGTTTTATCTTTATAAATCGTATGATCGCCTAAGTCCACTCGAGGCCCATTCAGTTTCTTATCAAAACCACTTAGATTTCTTTGCACTTGTCATATTAATCGTTATCTAAATCATATTGCCCTAGCCTCCATTGCTCTTGCACTGCTTTGAATCGCAGGAAATGTCGTCTTGGCCCGTCACCGCATGCGCAATTACTGGCTGTGTTGAATTAAGCATACGCAGTGCCAATTATTGATTAAATCAGATTTTATACCACATATATAAGTTTGCCTATAACTCAGACTTCACGGAAGTCATATTAAGTGTCATGGTCCTGACTGATACGACTTATGTGAGTTTTACTGTACATCCTAAAGTATTGATCTGGGTTTCCTTTTTAAATCCCATTTGAAAGTTTATACGTACTGTATGGAGTCCCCTCAGAGTCTTTCCAATTAAGTCAGGATTTTTAAGAATTTTCCACAATTCTCTGTCTTACATTTTAAGATAAGGTGGCATTGGCAATATGGTTTACATTTATACAGCGCCTTTGAAGATGGGATTCAAGGCTTTATAAATAGCTTAGTAACCCAACCCTCTCTCACTCTCTCACTGTCACACTCTCTCTTTTTGTCTCTCTCTCTCTCACTGCCTCTCTCTCCCTCTCTGACTCTATCTCGCGCTCTCATTCTCTCACTCTCTTTGTCTCCCTCTTTCTCTTGATCTCTCTGTGTCTCACTCTCGCGGTTACTGTTTCTCTCTCTTTCATTCTCTCTGTCTTTCTCTTATGGTAAAGTGACATCATTATCACCGCA